TGTTGGGACATTTGCTTTTTCTCGGATGTCTAATTGGCTCTGATCCCCCATATTTGGCTATAGCTCCTCTGACCAAGCTATACTTTTCAAACAAGTCTATTCTGCGTTTGTGTGATTTTGTCATTGATTTTACTCACTTTTAATAAAGTGTTTTAACATTGTGCTTTGGCTGTTATCTTCTGCAATTACATGTGTAGCACTTTGAGATTTTTAACAAAAAGTGCATAGGGAATTAAATTAATTATTGTATTATTATATCCACCCTGACTTAGGTTATTTTGGTTTGCATTATCTTACCTCACCTGAACTTTCTATGTTGCATTTTTTTTTAATCAACCATAAATGTTGCTGTCTTCCTGTGTCTTGGCCTTGTTTATCTTATTTTACCCAGTCTTAACTTGGCTTACCATACCTTAGCATAGCATTTATCAGTAGTTAGCCTTTTGTTCCCCTATCCAGTCTTAACTAGTTGATTTTTGTTTTATCTTTGCTTATAATTAACATACCTAATCTTAGTGGCCCTTAGTTTAATGTAAGCAGAAATAACAGCCCCTCTCAATCATATTTTCATTCTGTGATCGATGTTCTTTAAAGCTGAAGAGTGCTAGCAACCCTTGTGGAGGGGTTAAAGTCAACTGGCTGCCACTGACACGTGGCTCCCTCTAGTGGCGACTGGCTGCCACTGACACACGGCTGAGGTCACTCACACCTGGCTGTCATGTTTCGCTGAGCAGAACCGCTGAGAGTCCACAGGCAAAGAGACATTCACACAGGAAGCAGCTGCACAGTCCCCACACTCGGCTGCTCTATGCATATGAGAGAGAGAGAGAGAGAGAGAGAGAGAGTGTGTGAGTGTGTGTGTGTGTGTGTGTGAGGGGGGGGAAATGCGGTGTGTGACCATGCAAACTCCTACAGCTGTCACTATGGCAGTGCTTCTCAGTTCCGGTCCTAAGGCCCCCCTGTCCTGCATGTTTTAGGTGTTTCCCTTCTACCACACCTGGTTTGTATCTCTGGGTGATTAACGGGTTTCTGCAGGACTTGATGGTCATGCAATCATTTGAATCAGCTGTTCTGGAAAAAAGGCCCATCTAAAACATGCGGTGAGAACCGGAATTGAGAAGCACTGCATTATGGCAACATTTCTTGCTGTTTGTCCTACTCAGTGTGTGATGCTAGCTTTGGTTGCGTCCTGAGGCAGGCAGTCCTGCTAACAGCGTCATTTGTGCTGTTCACTGTGCTTCACTGTGAGCAGAGAAACCTCCAGTGAGAAGCGATCTTCCAGAAAGAGGAAGATGAAGCAGGAGCAGTGAGTTTCTATGAGGACGAGCGCTGGAAGAGTGTGAGGCCTGCAGAATCAAAGTTGCACATTCCTCAGTCTGGAAGGAGACATCTGGAAAACTTTAACCACAAAGAGGAGGGGGGGAGAAAAGGACAAGTTTCAGTTAGAGACATTACGATTTAAAGGTACAGCAACCTAAAATTACACCAGGACTTTGGTGTGACTGAAGCTTTGGAGCAGAGAGAATGCTTAGAGAGAAAGAAGGCAGAATCGGTGGGAGGAAGTCT